ATCAATATGTCTAGTTGCGCCCGCACAAGCTTCAAGTGTTTTTTGTTGTCGATCGTCTGGCTGATTGTCCGCTCTGGGCCATAAACTAGGGAAGTATTGTTGGCTCTTCCGTAAAGCCCATGAAATCCCCCCTTATTCTAATTTACAAACTTACGATTGAGATTACCATTGGTAAATAAGCTCATGGAAATTCCAAGGAGTCTACCGCCGTAGGTCTTTGCTCTTCAATCTAAGAAGTTTAGGTGCCTTTTTCACAGGCTTTGCTTCTCCAAGTATAAGTGTAGTAGCAGCTTAAGGGGAGCCCCTCTCCAATCCTGCCGACATCGTAGAAAACATAAACTATTATTTCGCAAGCCCCTATGTTCCTTCCGCATTGACCCTTTCTACTCATTGCACCCCGCGTGGTTCCATTATGTCCATATCTATGGGCAACACAAACCCCACTCTCTGTACACTCAGGTGCACTATTTGACTTAAATTCTTCACTTGTCCGCCTTAGAGATTCCAACTTCTGAAGCAGCGATAAAATCCGTTCTCCCACCCTAAAAGCCGGTAGCCTGGGTATCCCCTCCGTCATCCTCAGTCTTTTCAATATTTTCTTCGCCACTGGCACAGTTTCAAGTCAGTGGAAGCACTCCACCACTGTTCCTTACTATAAGTCGTGTCCACGAACTGCTATTGTGACGTTCGCCATACCTGTTTACTCTCCCGTACCCTAGAGCGAATTCCCTACCATAGATAAGCTGCTCTCCCCTAAGACCCTTAACACTCGCCGGCACGGGCTTGTAACATGACGGTCAGCTAACACGAGCCAGGCCGATTTACTCAATCATATTCTGTTTGTGTAAGATGCCGAACTTTGTGTTATTCGTATCTATCTTGATACTCGCAAGGCGTTTGTTCCAGCCCCCACGGTGCATTCCTCAAAAATAACAGTATACAGGGATTAGTGGCCCGCTCCTGCATTGGCTCATTTCTTCCTCATTTGAGAGAACCGGGGTCACCAGAATTGGGAATCTCTCCTCCTTACCACCTCTCACTAACAGCGGAGTTATCCAGGGTATTTAGCTCGGCCCCTTGATGTCCTTGCTACACAACAACAATGTCACTGATCGATCACTCATGGATCCCTCTTTCTACTGGCTGACAATAATAAAAGAGCCCACACGTACGGGGCTAGCCAATCCGCTTTCACTCTAGCCAACATTTAGTTTGACCTGAATTGTTCATCCATGTGGTACTCTAGCTCCCGTCTTTCCCTCACCGTTGTAAAATGCCAAGTCCACTCTCACATTGACTACAAACTCCTCCATGGATGCTTATCATTATGGGACTCTAGATTCCCACTCTTCTGGAAGCGAAAAGTCTAGGTCTTAGGCGTTCATGTGCGTTGTGTTAAGTGGACGGATGTGCGACACCAATGTCGTGCATGGGCTCGAAGTTCACCCCACTACCGTATATCAGAAGGCACGGTAGCTTGATACAATCCATAATGAATATGAACTGAAATTGCTACAACTTTGTTAAGAGCTGCTTCGCGGAATTTCCCACATGGTTAGGGTGAAATATTCGTGTAAGTGTGAGAAAGGCAGAGCTGGATATACTTGACCCTGGTTGGCTCCCATTCTGGCCAATCAAGGCGCGCCCCGTGTGGTCCGTAGCCGTCTCGCGACACGGTGTTGCGATAGACTTGATGTTAAGGTGTATAGAGCTGCTGCTCTCCGCACAACATGCACTTCATATACGTACCTCCAAATATATGGCTGCACTACTTACCATGCCTACTGTTCCGGATCACTGTATTCCTCTGCGGTGTACGATCCTAATGTGCCAAAACATTGGTGCAAGCATGAAACAGTATCTTTTTCACCTCCAAACAGCAAAATCCTGGTTAGTCGGATGTCTACGAGCAGCCGGTCACGCGCTCTTGTTGCCTGACTAGGGTTGAAAGTATCGATGTCGACCCATTTAGCTCATAGGGTATCAGCGTGCTTTCCAATAAGCGTATCCCCGAATCCGGCGGTTCATCAGGGTCACACTAAACGAGGAGCCCTAACACTAATTCCGCACACGAACGTAAGCACTGAACTCGGTGGCCCGTTCTTTCCACGCGCAGTGCACATACGGTGGTGACAGACGGCCCCACGTCTATCCATGCCTACGTTCCACTGTTAAAGACGCATTTGGCTGACCTGGAGATCATCTTGTCCCAAACAACCATGGGCACAAATGGATCGCACCGTAGCTCGTGTGAACGGTTTTCTATAAATCTCCCATCATAACAGACTCTGTCTGTGGCAGAAGATGGGGAGAGTTGAAACGTAGTCTGATGTATTCGTAAAGACCAGAATCGCTAGAGCAAGAAGCAACTATCGTCAGGTGTCTCCAATCTCTGTCTAACAATAAGACGTCTGTTTTCCATCCCAAGATATGAGAAAATCGTGGACCGGATCACTGAATACCACAGTGAAATGTAAACAACTACACTCAGCTTGGATGCTGTTGGCTCTTGTCACCCTTCAGGCTGGATCCCACGTGATTTGTCTTCCACTCGATCGGACCTGAAGCGTAACCGTTTCTTCCTAGCCAAACTTAGTCCTGATGTGATAAGCCTGTGTTGGGCAAGGTTCGCAAAGTTTGTTGGACCAGTCGTGCTATTGGTGTGTTACCCAGACGTAGTGCGGGGCGAGATGACTCAGTGGTTAGAGAGCGAATTTACTAACCGGTCCGTGGTTCGAACCCGACCTCTACCTCCTGACACCCCTTGTCTAGGCTTAGGCAATCTGGAAGTATCCAAGCTGTCGTGCTTCCTTCGGATTGCATGGCAGTTAGACGTAGTGCCCAGACATCTTCTTCTGTTTGCCCGCGGCTTGTCATCTATGGCTGTAATCACCATCATTATCAACTGTAAGAAACCGCGAACTTGCCGCACATTGGTTCTAACTGCTACAGTTTCGCTCACCGATGACTTAGGGGTTTGTAGTAGGTAGATTTGCAATGGAAGTGGTAGTTGTTCTAGTCGATGCTTAAGTACGCGGTTGTCATTAGACTTTTAATTGGGGAGACTGAAAGGGGAGCCACTATTTGAAGGCGATCGCTTGGATGCACAAACGCCATTGAGGGGGCAACCGGGCCATGTCTGACTGTTTCCAAGCGTTGATATGCCTCGCCTCGGGATCTCTATCTAGGGGGACGCCAGTGACCAGCGCAGCTAAGTTTGCTAGTAAAGACTTTCGTATTTCACTGCTAAGCCTTTGCTTGATCTCTCTTGACTCGATTCAACTTTTCATGTAGTTGTACGAAAGGATCCTTTCGAGGAACTCGGCTGGCTGCTATACAGAACACGTAGTCAAGCCAGCGCAACCTACAGTATGTGACCAGTCTATCTATCGTGGTCGAGTTATTTCTTGCGCAAACCATTCAACGTGCTTGAGGATTACTGACCCGATGTTCTCGCTGGACTCGAGCAGTGCTCCGAAGACATCGATGGTCGAACACTGAAAGTCATTTGATGTTCTCAGCGTTCAGCTACCAGGATTGTGACCCGTATAACAATATGAAGTGCACCGCAGCATTGTAGACTCGACCATTGACGGATAAGCTGATGTCATATCAACGTTACATGTAATGCAGGTTCACGAAAGTTGCCCTAGCCTTCCAAATCTGATTGGAAATGTCATGTTTCGGGGGACCACCGGGACTAATGCAGCTGATCAGGTAGAGAGATCCGTCTATCTCAATCGCAATCATGAGGTAGGGATTCGAGCCCCCCAGTCTTGCAGCAGCACTGTACTTTTTGCAGGCGTGAAACGCATACCGAGCCTTGAGGCAGAACTGTTTAGAGAATTTAGAGTACTTGATTATCTGATATTGTTAGCATTACGAGGGCGTCAGATTGGTGAAGAGCTATGCCGTCTGCGTACTCGATATTTGTGAGTGAATGCCTCCGGAGCACCTCGACCCCATAGGCTTTAGAAGCCTGTGGTGAATCTTCGCTAATCGTATCAATGACGCAGTTGAAGAGAAGAAGTGAAAGGTGGCAGCTTTGCCTTGCACCATTTGAAGTGAAGAACTCAGGCCTTCACGCGTCCACGGGAGTTGGCTTACAGAGTTCCAAACCGCTTAGTTTTACGGTTATTCCTAGTGTGGTGGTTCTTTCGTTAGTCTGACTGTTCTCTTTGGTCTTCCTGATATGGCTTCACTCTGTGGAACGAAATTTGCATATGGAAACTCGTGGCATCGTTGCATGACTGGAACTGGGACATCACGTCAAGGTGGCATCTCTAGATCAAGCAGACCTTTTGTGTCACGGCAAGCACAAATGTAATTGTGTGACTTGTTTTCCTCCGGATTCACAGACAGTTTTTCACTCGACAACATGGGACTTATCCCGCAGTTGGATGTTGCGACACGTCCGATTCCTTAAATCGATGTCTGAAAGTCAGTGGGTTTGGAAAACCAATGCCAATGAAAGTGATGCAAATGGAGAACAAATGAAAACTTCATTTACATGGGACGAATCAGGGATTTCAAAGTTTTCAAAAGTAGTTTTTTCATGTCGCTTAGGGGTACACAAAAAAGCAATGGGACGCGCTCATAGCCATCACACAAGTAAAACGTAAATGAGGTTTGTGGAGTCAGTCGAGAATGCTGTAGATGAGGTCTACTTCTATCATCATCGACATCATGACATCAGCATCAGCATTGATGCTTCGCGATCGTGGCGATGACCGTAGCGTGCCTTTTCACCACTGGTCTCTTCTGGAGTGAGTAAACGTTGAGAAAACCCACAGGGTATTAACCAAAAGTGGTAGTTTCTGAGGTCTGTTTTTCAGAAACGAACAACTCTATATATTCTATGGGCTTGCAACCTTCTGTCTGATTTCAGCATTCTGCTTATCTTGTCAAGGCTTTCAGATAGCCCAAGGCCATAGTCGATCTCCATTCATTGGTTGTTCTCTCCGTGCACCCAGTAAGGCTTTGGAGGTACTGGAACGAAAATGCCCGATTTCGACAAGATTCAGGAGGAGTTTGAAAAGCAATGGCGAATTATGAAGGTAAAACAGCTTGGATGGTGGCACGTTTTTTGTTCAGGGGAAACATTCATCTTACCTTAGTTCGGTGGAAACAATGAAAACAGCCCAATCCAATTGCTCCCAGAGTGTTAAACACTGCAAATCTTACATGCAGTTCTTGAACAATGAAATATCGAGGTAGTAAATTAGTCGCTTGTACGATTCCGATCAGACTAGAAAAATCGGCCACTACTGAGGAGAAGAAGAAATTAGCAGGTGTGAAACTGGAGCTTCAACGGAAGGAGGTTGAAATGCGTAACGTTGAGGATGTTCTTCCGCGACGTCCTGGGTATGTCCCTTTTGTTTTTCTACTAAAATCAATTTAGCCTATATCTTCGCATCGTCCTTGGGGCCCTTAACATTTCCCTGTCCAGCAAACAAGACAAGTAATGTGATTCCGTCACTTCCTGACACATCCAGATTCGCCTATAAGAATGACTATGAGCAATTCAAGATTGTTGTATCTGCAATATGCGCCGTTCTAACGTTCTTATTGTACTTTTTCATTCAAAGCAGGTGAGTTCATTCATGCTCTCTTAACGTACCCATACTATCATAGCTTCTGGTTAGGATATACACGCGTATTCTTCCAGGTGAATAGGTCAGCCTAGTTCTTTTGTCCTGACTTGAAACACCACTACAGGGATGGATATTACTCCCCCATAACTGACCGCTCGGAGACGCCATTTTTCACACTTCGGATTCCGTGACTCCTCGTTGTCTTCTATTTTTGAAAGCTTTAATGAGAGGTCCCTCAGTAGTGGTCATGGCATACATTACCCATCATATTTCCGTATAAATTTCAGTGTCTGGGGAGGACCCCATCTTCACAAAGTCTTCAGTTTATTTTCACAAGAAGTGAATCCTCTTCCAGAGGGCCATCAGACTGCCACCTGTTCAAAAATAGAAAGATTCCAGCTTCGAAGAGTTGTACAGCAGTTCTGCGCTAACTGAAATACAGAGTCTGATCCAAAGAATCTTTGACTGTCGTTGCTAGTAGTGACCGTACCTCCCCGAAGTTTACTGGGATAAATTTATCCTGAACCGGTCAGAGTGCAGTAGAGTCAGTTTTTGGGGATTTCTTCTATAGTTGGTCACCTGGGTCTTAAGGGCTTTTGCGATGAAAACGATACATATCAGATGGAGAATGATCCATGCCGAAAGTTTGAGACCGAAATTTGAATCCCTCGGACTCACTTTTTTACTCAAGAGCGCAGCGGAAACCATAATGAGCACATCGTTGCGCAGTTCGACTGATGCTCAGTGCTTAGAGCGCGAATTTACTGACCGAAAGATTTGTAGTTCGGACCCGATTTCTGTCTCTCGACTTCCCCTGTCTAGGCATGGGCAACTACTTACCCCCCCCCCCAAATAATCGGTGAACGGAACTGTGGCAGCTACAACCACTGTACGACAGACACGCGGTTCTTACAGCTGACATCTATGACGGCAACCTGGCAGTATCCCAGCCCTCGTGCTTCTTTTGGGTGGCACGGCAGTTGGGCACCGAAAGGATGCTACAACTGGACGATTTTACACAATCCAGTTTAAACTATTTTTAATCAGTATACCTGCGGGGTAATATGTGGAGAGCATGGCCTGGAAATCGTAATGTCCATGTTTAATCATCAGGTGACATTATTATTTAATTTAGGATGTGCCGTGACCGGCTTCAAACTTTCTGAATTCATCAAACTGCACTAGAGTGTCTTTCCTCAAGTTCATGAATACAATCCGTCTGACTATACGCTTTATCCTGCTCTTGCTTGACCTAGTCAACAATATTTTGTGTGTGCGAATGTCTAACCGATTTGACTAAGTGGAATTTTGTGCGAAGCAAGGAATTTCAGTCGCGTGACTAAGGCCCTTTTCTGCCACCTGGTTGTCTAGGTTCCGAAAAGCGTAGCCAAGAGGCTGCGAACGGATATTAGCCGCAGGCTTTTTGGTCGTGTAGTCTCAGATGGGCATATCTGTTACCGATGAAAATGTGGTGGATTGAAGTTGATGCTGTGAATTATCTGTGACAGTTCTGATCGGATTTGTCAACCTCATCTTGCTGCTACCGTGTTCAAAACCACTGAAATATCTGACCAAATTCTACTTTACGAAGTACCACACTCAAAACGCCTTGGGTAGTGCACCTCCTAAACTTCCTGATTTTTCTCATTCCTAGAGTATTGGACACCGTGTTTCACTTTCTGTTGGTATGGTACTACTGCACACTGACCATACGCGAGCGAATTCTAATTGCTAACGGTTCTCGAATCAAAGGGTGGTGGAACATCTATCACTTTATTTCTACTGCCTCTGCGGGAATAATGTTGATCTGGTAAGTATACATAATGTGATTTTGAGTACTTCAACATCGTTGTGATTTAGATTCTTCTAGTGTTCAGCATCTCGTTTCTTTAGATATCTGCTTCTGCACGCCTTGCCCCTATATGTTATCTACTCCATTCTTTTCCCTTCTGGCTCAAACTGATCTAAGTAGGCTTTCATCTGTTGCTGACTGTAGAACCCCCCACATATCAAGCATATTTACTGAGCTATATGCAGTTGCTTAATCCTGGTGAGGTGCCACCTGGATGGAGTGCTGTTTGTAATCTAGGACTGTCTTCGACCCAGCATGTCCTTTGCTTCAAACGGTATATTACGCAGTAAGCTGCGCACTTAACCAAACTCAGGTAACGTATATTTATGTTTGCCGTGGGAGACCCTTACGAGGGGGAAACCATCCTCTTGGAGAGTCCACGGCAGCGTTCCGCATGGCTCATGGGGTATTGTACAGTCTCTAAGAATGCCAACTTCAGGAGGGTCCATATATCTTCTCTGATAGTTTCTCTTAGGGATTCGCTGTAAAATGGTTTTGAGTACATTCCTGCGCTAACCTTGGAGCCTTCCAGTTTCCCTATGGATCTTCATTCTCCACCTCATATCCTATCGTAATGTTGGAGTAGTTACTTGCGATCCCTACTGTGCGTCTTTACTGCAGCATCGTTTTCACTCCGTAAAGCCAGGTAGTTCCAGCTGCCAGTGGCTGATAGAAAGTGAGTTACCGGACTGATATATTTGCAACCCTGAAACACTTCTTCGGTCAAGTGAACGACTCGGAAGATGATATCGCCAGATTAGTCCTGACTTTATTTCCACCGTAATCAAGCCTCGTTTGATGTGCGCGTCCGATCGTCTTGAAACGCATATTCCACTTTTGACTATATAGTAGTTCCAGTAGTCAGAATATCGATAGCCTAGCCAAGTTGTTCATGTAAAGGTCCATCATGTTTGTGCACAATTTTTTGGCGTTCTTGACCCTGAATTATTTTCCCTTTGGGATCTGACAGCAATTTCGAGCCTCTTAGTTTCATTTTTGAAGAAGTGGCTCGCGTATGGCAACTAGGACACCCTTTGCTTAATGTCAGTCACGTCAGACAACGAACAGGGTGTTCATCTCATTCTGTTCTATACGACGAGGTTTCTACAAAATCCGATTACTTTTAGACGGTCCATTTTTGGTCCGCATTTCGTTCATGGCCCCGGTGTCGATTATAGAACGAGATAACTCGTTTTCCATATTGCTGGCCAAATATAACCAGACCTAGGAACCCAGTTTTGATGCAGTTCGTCAGTGGATTTGATTGATGTGTGCCCGTTTCAGTCGCTTCTGTAATTTCTAAGCATTAAACAGTGCACGATCCGTTCAGTGCTCCCCTGAAGCCATTCTAATACCTCGACCACATTTAGGATTGCAATGCACCTGAGAGGATAGATTCTGGTTCCAATTATCTTTGAAAAGAGTAGTGTTTTGCATGTTGGAACTCCATAAACTCCGATCGTTCTTTGTCCGAACAGCTTCGTTCGTGTGTTTACTTCCTTTCAGGCCACGATCGCAGTCATACGACGAGTTTCGTGACCAATTCATGCTTTTTTCACTGTGCATGAGTAAGTTTTCTCTCCATCTGCTGAGATCACTGTTAATTATCGCTTAATGTTGGTATTTACGTGCTTCAATTGTTGCTCAGTACCATGGGTGATGGATTTTATTCGAATGAAAAAGTCAGCGCCTCTTTAGGGAAGTTTACTGAGGCGAGCGCAGCACTGCGCTTTTCGATTTTGTTAAAAAGAAGCTTTCGCGATCACTGTTTAAAATATACGCCCACCCAACTTGTGGTGTTCTGGAGAAAATATATCAGACCTTATTTCTGGATCCGAGGTATATATATATATATACAGCATATATATAGTACGTTAGCTTACTATTGATTAGGTCGATTAGGGTCGATTTTCCATGGTCTCGAGGCGGACAGATGTGTCCTGACATAGGCGCGACCGGCTGTGGGATGTAATTGTATTCATGTGAGCGTAGTGCGCGCACTTTCACTTATTGAAACTCGGCTACCTAGCTTTTCGTTTCGCTTCTATTTCCTATTTTCGTTACTGTCCCCTGCGGAACTATAAACCAGTCTCATGAACCATAGTTGCCATGTACTGACTCGAGATACGTACTCTCGAACAAACATGAAGCGATGTTTCGAGTGTTTGTGCGCCCAATCGCCTCCTGCAAACCAACAAGATCCATTGGTTCTTGATGAACCGTTAAGAGTTCATATGAGAATCAACGACGTGCCATGCTACCGGAAGCCACTATTTCCACTCCACGTTGTCCTTCTAGGCTTCCAGTGTAATCTGTTTTGGCCGGTTTCCTGATGTCACTGCTTGCCAGAGCCAGTTTTCCACCTGACATATGGAGAGCCAGGTTCGCACCAGCTCTAATCTACCTTGCGAAGCTCTCCATCGTTGCGCGTTCTTTAGCTCAATTTATCAGCTATAAACCATGTACCTAGGCACATTAATGTTTCGAGTGTTTGTGCGCCCAATCGCCTCCTGCAAACCAACAAGATCCATTGGTTCTTGATGAACCGTTAAGAGTTCATATGAGAATCAACGACGTGCCATGCTACCGGAAGCCACTATTTCCACTCCACGTTGTCCTTCTAGGCTTCCAGTGTAATCTGTTTTGGCCGGTTTCCTGATGTCACTGCTTGCCAGAGCCAGTTTTCCACCTGACATATGGAGAGCCAGGTTCGCACCAGCTCTAATCTACCTTGCGAAGCTCTCCATCGTTGCGCGTTCTTTAGCTCAATTTATCAGCTATAAACCATGTACCATAGGCACATTGATTCCAGCTGCTACGATTTCGATTATCGGGAAACGGAAAGTGTGGGACATGGATCCAAGCCTTGGAGGCGGTGGCATGTCCCGTTAGTTACTCAGGTGATGCACCTGGACTCCGCTCTTAGAGGATTCTACTCAAGGATCGTCTTACCGTTTTTATTACTATCTGAGGTCATTTCAAGATATGCTTATCACCATATCAGCAATTTCGTTTGGATCTTGTTTGCAATCTCTGTAGATAATAACCTCAACACATGCTCCCTTAGCGACTCCTCGAACTTGTCAACCGAAACAGTTGACCCGATTGCGCCCCATACTTATTCGGTTATTGTGCATCACTGTGGACGCTGATTCGTTCCGTATATTTTGCATTACCACATGGGCATGTAAATGTGACTGGATCATTCTGTACGGATTTGGTGAGAGAGGCTAACACAGTTATATCAGTGTATGCTGCAAATGTTACTCATGACTATGGGCTTCCGTAACAGCGTCTTGATTCGTTCAGTTTATTCAGTATCGTTTATATCTACCGTTCAGTTAGTCTGTCAGATTCGATGTTTTCTGATTGGTTGAGCACGAAGGAATCAGCTTCCGGGTTTCATCTGTAGATAATCAAACTCTGTTCTAACGGCACCAGAAATTCTTTGTTATTTACTAGAAAATTCTGCTAGGTCTTTCGTTTCGCGTTGATGGGTGGTTGAGGCAGGTCCTTCATGCACATCCGTCTTCTTTGTGTTGATATTTTGTGATCTTACCATCTGTTTCTCCTAATGATAGCTGAGCGACTTCCGGTAGGGTTTCCTCTTGTGCCTTTGTGTCTTTTAATTGGACAAGTGAATCTCGAGTACAACTTGTAGCATGGGGATAATTTTTAAACGGATTACTTTCTCAAGCAATTCACGTCAGACTTCACTACTCCCATTGATCGGTGCTAAACAAGCACGCTTTCCGACCATCGAAATCTTTTCATAAAGGAAACCACTCTCTGAAAACTTCGACAGCCTGCTATTGGTTTCGCCCTTCTTGGGGCTCATCAGGTAGGCACAGTCGCCGAGTTCCCATAAACTTACTCTCCTGCTTAAACCCAAACTGAACAGATTTAGACAAATTTTCTAATCTGAATATCTATTTAATTTTTAGTGGGTGAACCTCGTTCAATATATTCCTCAACTGAATGTGCTGCAATTTGCCGTCGAATTTAGGTTGACGGAAACTCGGGGATTGTGTCTGCCTCATGAGCCCCAAGCAGGGCGAAACCGGTCGTGGGCTGTCGAAGGATTTTCAGCAACTTTGTACAGCAATGAAGCATCGGTGTTGAACACTGATGTCATGTGTAGTTGATTCAGAGGTTGTGGATCGTATCAAACATGATGATGATGATGATGATGATGAGTTCATTTTATAAAAATATACCGCGATATCTCAAATATAATACCAGCCGAAACATGATGCGACCTTTTTGCAGCACATTCAGTTGGAGCGTATCGTAAACAAGAGATTCGGGCGAATTTTCCATGGAAATCAAATTAATATGCAAATAAAAGTATTTTTCTACCATCAGAACGGGTCTGAGTAGGACTGCTTTTTCTGGTGTGCGCGGACGCAGCATCGCTTTTTTTTACGTTCACTAGTAGTTTTGGGAGTTGGTTATGCACTTTTTGGGTATGTTCTCGCAGCTAATTCGCTGGCAGTAACGGAACGACTATCAGTTTTCGGTTAACCCGAATCAACTCCACAAGTTGGTTGGGTTTAGGATTTGTCCACTTTCATGTTCTCCGGCTCTTGATCCGTGTCACTATTTACAAGTCATACAGTGATTCCGGTGGGACTGAGAGGAAACAACCTCACATTAGTGACGACAGTTCATAAAACAAGTGCTAACCCATTGAAGATGTGTAGGTTGGACCATGTCCTGTTTGTATGAGGGCTTACAGAGATGTTGAGCCATGCGTTGAGAGTATTGTCCTAGACACACAAGTGCCATTGAGTATGCGATTAGGCTGTTTGTCGCCGTCGCTAGCTATTGTTGTAGCTCATTTCTCGGTCCCTATCCAGATACATCACGTTACCAATGCGACTGAGTCTGCTGGGAATGGTCCAGAGAGTTGGATTCCGTTTGAGACTTAGCTTGTCTTATGATAATACCACCTTTGACTTGCTCGTGCTTGGTCCAGCCACCCGAAGGTTGCACGAGGGCCGGGATACTTCCAGGTTACCCAAGCCTAGGCAGGGGAGGTCAAGAGGCAGAGGTAGGACCTTCCGGTCAGTAAATTCGCGCTCTAACCACTCGGGCCATCTCGCCCTCATGTTTGGTAGGTAGAGTCTGCAGATCTGAAGTCTCTGTCGTGAATTTCGCTATTTGGTGGGTTGCTTATTGGTTCGTTTATATTTAGTCAACCGTTTGTAGATGGTGTGAATCAGGCCGTTTTAACGCACCATAGTCCTTCAAGTGCGGATCTTATTGTTCTCATCTTCATTCTGCTTTTTGGGATGAAATACTGCAAGAGGAAACAGAGGTTTAGTTGTGGCCAAAAACAGATGTTCAAGTCCATGAAGGTTTTTTGCCCACATTTCGCACTCACCACAGTAACATGACGCGTTCCCATCGTACTCGTCACCTAGTGCTTCACCGTCTTCGTTCTCCGGTTTGTCATCCTGATTGTGAAATAGAACAGCACCCTTTGACTCTGGTTCTTTTCCGCAGTTTGTTTGCATCTGCATGAACACTTCTTTCTACCTACCCATCTCCGTTCAACATCCAACAGGTATCGTCCATTGTTTCCAGTATCAGTATCAAATTGGTTGTCTGTACAAGTTACGTGCTCTGGGTGAAATCCATCCCATGTACATAACGATAGGTGAGTTGAATTTCTGGTCAGATACTACAGTTTAGATTTCAACACCTCTTTTCCCGTACACTGATGGCCTTATTGAGCAAAGATTTCGCACCAGAGGTTTTGTGTGTAGAGGCCTGATGTTGTCGAGTGGTTTACCGTCAAATTGGCCGGCCATTTGTGTTCAGAACGCATATGATATATGTAGGTTCACTAAGGTTATTTAAACTGCATTCCCATTCACGGCTGCTTAATAGCGGACGAAAGCCGCAGACAGCCGTGGAACTCGTCAGAAATAGTCCTGCCTTCCTAACTCGAATTCCCTTCCTGAATGAGGATAACTCACCACTCACGTCCTCCTTCTTTCGAATCGTGACACCACCTCTTCTACTTTCGGCATTTTATTTAACGACTAATGGTTAGCCGTCTGGATACTTATCAAATACCGACAACATGTGCCACTCGTCTTTCTCGGAAGTTTGCACTCTAAGACTCATCCATATATCTCGGACCGAGGACAGTGGATACTACAGAAGATTATGAATCTCTGTTGTTGCCGTTCCTCTACTCAGTCCCTGTCTCTACCCAAGGGGCCTAAGGACGGCTTGGTACTAAGTCCAACATCATTCACACTTTTTTCCCCACTAATTGGGCACATCTTCTCTAATTGTATTTCGGGTGTAATGAGTATCGCCATGCCGCCGAAACAGAGACCTTATTTGTCAGTTGTTTACGAATTCCACATCTATCTGATTCCAAAACACGGTTTTGGACGTTTTTTAGATTGAATTAACGAACCAACACATAACTACTCCCTTCACATCAGCCCTCAGCTACACGCAGTTTTCTCATTCTTTTTGACCAATATGTTGTTATGCATTGAATGTAGCATAGTAAAGAAGCTCACACCATCACGTGCTGTGTGAATTTAGAATAGGTAAGGTATTTTCCCGAGAATGTATCCGCTGCCCTAGTTTAATTTCTCATCGCTGTTTTAACGAACAGGTGTGTGCTCCACCGTTCTATTTTTTTGTTCTTTACATTCCCACTTGATTGTGACCACTCTTGTTGATGTTGATAGTGTATTTTCAGTGCATTTTCAAGCCTTCTCTGTAAGCCATGATTTAGAATGACTTTCTCAGTGGGAGCCGGTTATTTCATTTTCCCGTTCAATTAAACACTTTAACTCGCGAACAGTCAGTTTGGTCACCTCGACCAGTCCCTGCTCTTCCCAAACCCACTCACATGACATTGTATTATGGGGTATCAATGAATGCGTTTTCCTAGACTTACAATAACAAACTCGTTCCAACCACTAGTTTTCAGTCGGGCTTTTGTAATCATATACACTTACCACCGTTGTTGGATGAGGTTTAGGTTACTTGTGTTGATATTCGGCTCCCTATGGAATTACACCGGTTGCTTCATCTACACACCGTCGTTTCCAGTATGATCATGTTGAAACTTTTGACCTGTTTATTCCCTTCCGTTTTGTCTGATACTGTTGGACTATTGTCTGTTGCCACCGTGCTCAATTACATTGTCTCATCCTGAAACAACAGATGGATTCAAATCGTGGATGTTCAAACGACTAACATTCATTCTGCCTTTCCTATACGGCGTCTACGCATTTGAGATGTACAATGCCTATTGTTTGTATGAAATTTCTCGACAACCTTACTGTCAAGAATGGCAGGTAAGTTGTTCGCCTGTTCTTTGAATAGCCCCAAGGAATTTTTAGAAAGCATCTGGGTTCATGATTCCTTCGCATACTTGTTTACATCGAGTGTTTATTCTTCCAGGTCCTTTGGAGAGGCTGGGCACAGTATCCATTACTTTGATGGGGGGAGATGGCCCAAGTGGTTAGATCGCGAATTTACTGACCGGAAGGTCCGTGGTTCGAATCCGACCTCCGCCACTCGACTTCCCCTGTCTAGGCTTGGGCAACCGGGCAGTATCCCAGCCCTCGTGCTTCCTTCGGGTGGCATGGCAGCTAGGCATCGGAAGGGTGCTACAGCTGAACGCTTTCTTTTTTTTTCTTTCCATTACTTTGATACACTGCTGTTCCTGCCTCGTAACGACCATCTATCTTATTCGGCGAACATTCTTGTTCGTGAATCGCTTTCCTGCTCATAGGTGGCGAAATAACCTCCGGGATTGCAGGCCTCTTCAATCCGACGGGCTGTTGAGAGACATTGGTGGCATAATACTGAATGGTTAAAACGCCAAAATTGATTAATAAACAGAGGAATAGACAACAATCAAACTGGCCTCCTTAATATAGTCGGATTTAATCGCATGAGACCTAGGAATAATTCATAAGAGTGGCAGTTAGACCCCTGGTTTTTGGAATTTGCGTTCCTTTTGGGTTCTTCATTTTGTATTACGCTTCCGTATCAATAAGTAACGGTTCCTAGTGAACTGTTTCTCGATCAAGTTCTTGCTGTCAGAAATTCTGTCAAGTCTAACCGTATAAAACTTGAAAAGTTGATCTGATTCTATCAGTATTACGACTCCAAATCGTTTACCGCGTTGTATGAGGATTGCACCATAAATAGAATGCATTTCTTTAATGTGCTTATAGTGGTCCGCGACCAAACTGGGTTGCTGACTTAAAGCGGCAGATAGAAATTGGTTTGTTAGATTGACCAACCTCACCTGGAACTAACCGGCATTTTCATCGCCACGCGATGACAGATGGTATTTTGCCCGACTCAGTTCTTCAAATTTCCTCAAAGGAGACTTCCTGCCACAGCATGTTAGACGTTCGATCAACTATTATCTCTGTTATGTACGTCAACCATTGAAAGGATTGATATGGATTTTTATGATGAGGCTTAGGTGATTATCCGACCCGATTGAATAGGCTACTATCAAAGAAGAGACCATCGAAGACCATTACGAAATGCAGCAAAATGGTAAAAACACACTGATGATTCGATTAAAGAGTCTAATAACTTCATCGGCTTGATGGTTCAGATCCACTCTTAGTAGCCTTGGTACGTCATATGAAGTGCGGAAACTTAGCCAGCGGAATCGCAGCAGTGCCAGTCTTTAATTGCCGAATACTTTCCTGTGTTGTATCGTTTCTCAGCTTTCCACTTAACAGACCTTTGACATGTGTGGTCCTCGGCGACCTGGTCCATCAAGGTGCCGTTTATCAGTATGTATGGGTCCACCAAGAAGTTGTTTCGTATCCTATCCTTCTTGATTCAGCAAACATGCCCCAACTGTTGTAGACAGCTGTATAGCACAATAGTCTCTATTCCGTCACAACGCAATCAGTATCAGAAGTTGTTTCGTATCCTATCCTTCTTGATTCAGCAAACATGCCCCAACTGTTGTAGACAGCTGTATAGCACAATAGTCTCTATTCCGTCACAACGCAATCAGTATCAGAAGTTGTTTCGTATCCTATCCTTCTTGATTCAGCAAACATGCCCCAACTGTTGTAGACAGCTGTATAGCACAATAGTCTCTATTCCGTCACAACGCAATCAGTATCAGAAGTTGTTTCGTATCCTATCCTTCTTGATTCAGCAAACATGCCCCAACTGTTGTAGACAGCTGTATAGCACAATAGTCTCTATTCCGTCACAACGCAATCAGTATCAGAAGTTGTTTCGTATCCTATCCTTCTTGATTCAGCAAACATGCCCCAACTGTTGTAGACAGCTGTATAGCACAATAGTCTCTATTCCGTCACAACGCAATCAGTATCAGAAGTTGTTTCGTATCCTATCCTTCTTGATTCAGCAAACATGCCCCAACTGTTGTAGACAGCTGTATAGCACAATAGTCTCTATTCCGTCACAACGCAATCAGTATCAGAAGTTGTTTCGTATCCTATCCTTCTTGATTCAGCAAACATGCCCCAACTGTTGTAGACAGCTGTATAGCACAATAGTCTCTATTCCGTCACAACGCAATCAGTATCAGAAGTTGTTTCGTATCCTATCCTTCTTGATTCAGCAAACATGCCCCAACTGTTGTAGACAGCTGTATAGCACAATAGTCTCTATTCCGTCACAACGCAATCTCCATAGGGTCCCAGTGCCTGACACCCTCTCAATCCAATTGGTACTGAGTATCCGCCTCAAGTGAAAGCCACTCGATATATTACACTTGTTTATGCTACAAGAGCTGTAATAGAACGAGTAGTTGATGTCCGCTGTGTACCTGTGTCTAACGGTTATTGTTTAGAAAGATGGCCCAGCCGAAATGGGATTGCACTCCACAGCAGTAGCGCATGCTGGTCAGCTACGAGTTTAGGAACCTTGTGTATTTCTTATATCAATCCTTACCTGGAGTATCAACTGGAAATCTTTGAACGATACGTGATGTTACCATTCCCATCTGCGTTGCATCTTTGTTGAGTGAGCGTTGCCTAAACGGACCGAAAGTTAAGTCAGAATGTCTTATACGGTCCCCTAAAAATCATTTATGGGCAATTACTCACTCAATCTAGTCTGCCAAACAAGTTTAGCGGAGCTCTCCATGTCCCTATACAATAGAATTGAGGTAGAACCAAGCAATCTTGTGTAGTTTAAGGTGCTGGTCGCATGCTATGATGTGACAGGGATGATAGATTCTTTACTGGATCTACCACTCCCAGCTGTCCCCAGTTGCCGCTGGCAAGACAGTAGTTCTCGTTTATGAGCAGTCTTGACACTAGATTGACCAGTTCTGGACCAGTTGTACACTACGATGCAATCTTTAGTTCCGATCCTTCTCACGGCGTCTAGAACACAACCGAATGCCCAACCAAAATGGTAGTTCGCAGGGAGTCCGGGATTTACAACCCATCCACCCAGTCTTATCTGACCGACCTTAGTTTTGTCGCCAATAAATTTCTTGGCTTTATTGATCACCTCTCCCTCTTCGTCCCAATCTGCATTAAAAAAGCCTCCTTGCTCAGTTCAACTTAGATTTCGGGATGTAACAAAAGGAGGCCAATAATGGAGCAACGAATCCCATTTGAGAACTACCTTAGGCGGACGTACCTTTGAGGGTTCATGATGGATGAGCTTTCGGTTCGACCTTCGGATCAAATTATAGCTTCAACGACTTCGGGTGGGGAAAACGAAGTGACGAAAAAAGATTCAAAACACACTTCGACGATGCTATCAGGAGTAGTGTATGCAACAGATACAATTGACAGTTAATCCATGGTTCGGACACGATCAGGAAACGCACAATCATCCTCCCCCTGTCAAATTTCGGGACAACCTAGTGGAACTGTTGTCCATGGTGCAAACTATGATGATCTGAGATAGCTAAAAGTCTGATCACTAGTGTCCAAATTACGTTCTCGAAAGCTTGTCTACGTACGAGGTCGGTAAGCATTGGCGTAAGTTTCCACATCTCTATCAGCTGCCTTATTTTCAGTTGTTCGGGTGGCACCGTGCAAGCTGCTTGCTGAAATGTGCACACGGATAATCGGCAAAGTAGTGTTGTGGGCATGGAATCTCATTTTGATGGCCAGGCAAAAAGCTGACCCATTCGTTGCAAAATCAGGATGAAGTAACTTGCCTGAAGAAACTTGCAAACTAACTCAACGAGTTGTATGTTCTCACTCGATCAATGTCCATCATTTCCATGTAGCCACATATTTGATAGGTGTTAATTTAGTCGTCTTTAGTTCAAAGTTTCCACTGGTGGGTCTGTCGTGATGTTATGTAGCTGGCTGGTGGTGATAACTGGAGTTCAGTCGTAAAGATTTGTGTTCAATTTGGTCTCGTCGAACGTCATTTTTTTGATTTGACGCTGAGGCCACAGGATTCGCAATTTGCAAACGGTACTTGAAACTATCACACGTTCAGTGGAGCCAGGTTCTATGTTTCTGTCACCTTAATGTACAATGTAAACCGTAACTATTTGGGCCGAAATCTTTCGTTCGTTTTACGTGAAACGCATTCGTGGACTTCTGGATTTATTTCGACCATCTGCTGCAATAATTCAACTTTCACATGCGGTAATCCTGAGCGAAATGTGCCCTTCTAAACTAGTTTACACTGAGTGTCTGTTGTTAAATTGCGTATAACCTAATGTGGGCGGTCATCTGATATGAGTTTTGGATTAGGTCAGTTAGTGGTACAAGATTACTCTCACAAAGAATCCACTTTCCTAATAATGACACTTTCCATGAACCTTTGCGAATTCGACAGAAGATACAGGGCGTGGAGAAATCGCTCCCCTTCCTCTTACATCAACTGCTTTTTCGCACATTTCGAACCCATTCTTCCTTGACAACTCTAGTGACGACTGCAGGGTGCTATAGGTGTTATTATTTTTGGCGCATCCATAGCAGATGTGTGAACGGACGCTTTGTGCGAACAAAGGGCTGATAAACACACTTGAAACGTTGCCCAACGTACACCGATCGATGTCATCTGCTAACCCACACTGCTGGACCATACAGTACCATCTTTGTGATGGGTACAGCTAAACAATTTTCAGTACCTATCACCGAGCACAACCAGTCTTCCTACGCAGAGGTGGTGCGTGTATGCCCATGTGACTACACGACATCAGGCCTGTGAAAAACACTAGCCAAAGACGTTTTTCGGGATGACCAAGGGTGCTTGTCACACTTGGTAAAGGCAATTATTTGTAACAATGCTCACTTTTGTGTGGCTACTTTCCTCACACTTCTCATATAAAGTTGAAAAATCAAAAACGCTCCCCGGAATCTAATGCTTCTTGGAATGACGGAGCGTTTCTATGACCTTAGTGTTAAGTTGTATGTCGGTTACTAAACCTTAGTGAAGAGCACATGCAAGCGAGTGATGAAGCTAGCGCCTGTTGAAACTCATTCGACGTCATGTCAAGCCAATGAGCCTAAGGAAACACAAATATAGAGTTGTGCCAAAAATTGACAAAGATACATCACTTAACAACTGCGGCATACAATGTAGTGTTATAGAACAAGAAGATAAATTAAAAATGGATGCATGGAGCGATTCAGAGCCGCTGGGCATGCGGTATCTATGCTACTTTAGATTGTCGAAGGCTAAAATAACGTAGTTGACCTCGTGGACAAACACCAGAAATATTCACAAACAGTCGAAATACTGGTGGAGTTATCTGTCTCCCCCCATGAGGAGCCGCCCTCAGGGTGACCGATTTTGTTGTTCATTCAACGGAGGAGCTCTTTGTCGTCACCCTCGCATCTAACCGTACGAAGTCCTCCTAAGAAGAAGCCATCCCAGATTTTCTCAAGATTCAGTTCAATTCAGTTATCCAACGATAAAGTGTGTATCACACTACAGTGGTTCAAGCCACTACACTTTCATGCACTGAGGGTAAGGAAAATGATTAAACAGCACTAGAGGCGGTAGCTCAATTGATTCATTGGAGTTAAATCCTCCTATATGTCTGATAAAGCTGAGAGTGTGACATGTGCTCGCGTAAGGTGACTGCTCTGATGCGGAACCATCACTGGTTGCGTGACAGGGCCATATCTATCAGCACTACAAACAATTGGTTTGTCTCATCTGGCACCCTCAACATTGGTGATCTGGTACTCCCACCAGGCCCACACGTTGGTCAGACACAGGGAGTCTTTGAAGATCTACACGCAGCTGTACGCCGCACCTGGGCGGTGTACATTGCTTTCAACAGCCAAACTGATGTCATAGACTCCTCAGATGCCAGAGGTTGATAAATGCCACACAGACCTTCCCGATTTGGAAAGTGATTTCCTCTTGTGCCAGTCGCGAGAAATGTAGCTTCCCAGATAAACGAACTTATCTCCCTCATTGGCCAGTTCATCGGAAAGCATGAGGTTTGGATTCAACGCGACCCAGGCTTGCAGCACAATTTTGCAGTTTGTGAGTGTGAACCATATGCCGAACCGTGCAGCAGGTCATCTAGAATAATTCGTGTTGTTGAACGGCACCTTCAATATACGCAGTATCTGAACGGACGTCCCGGGAGCATATCAATTCCCAGAGGTGTTAGTGGGTAATAAAAAAGACTCAAATAACATATTGATTTGTACGTTGAAGGGGAAGGTCGACAAGGCAGTCTTGCTTGGCACCAGTGATCGTGATGAACTCAGACAAAGATTCGTCATAGAACCTTATTTGTCCCTAGGGTACGGCAGTGAAGCATCACTGTTGAACACTGATGTCATGCTGTCGATGATGATGATGATGTCCCTAGGAGAATACTTATAAAGTATTTATAGGGGACAGCGTTTTACATGGGTCATCTTTCACTAACAAACACAGCCATAGCTTCAGACAGATTCAAAAGCAGCGCCAGAAGGAGTAGTGTAGATCAAGCACTTACCGCAATGCACCCACGGCCAGGGCAACTTAGCTTGATTTCGAAGAATCCGACTCTCTCGATAGTGGATCGACATACGCACGCTAATGCCAGGGAGTCAGCCCTGCTGGATTGATGCGACGCTGACTTTCGCACGATGTTCGTGCACCACTTTTGAATATAGGCGTTCCCGTTGAGGTGGTGTCAGTATTACTGCACTCCATGTATTTTGGAGAACAGGGATTCAAGCATTTCTCTCGCAACCTCCCTGGTCCGTACCACCATCACTATGGACGTTTTAGGGATCTGCGTGCACCACGACAGCCATTTGTTGCTAGAGTAGCTTCCCAGGCAGCAGTGGGAGCTGCTGATCCTAACGGTATCCAGAATTTCTAAGGCTTCGGGCATGAATTTTTTCATCTTGTTCCAGTATGTTTCCAAACCACCACCATTATTGTCGCCACAACAATCATTATGGCCTTGAAAGCTTCTAGGCTTTGGAGGTAGTGAACTGAACTACTTTGTTTCAACCGGCATGCTTCGGAGGGAACCCAATTGGTACAAGTAACAGCACAGTGCCGTGGTCAGAGTTAAGTTGTACACTCCAGAAGTAACGCACTCTTGAACTGAAGCAGCCCATCGGTAGCCAATTGTCACATGGTTCAACTGAGTCCAGGACTGATTTGCATTTGGTGGCCCCCTGTAAACAGTGAGTGCTGATGCCGAGATGCGTTGGTCTTGACTGAGCCGGTCAGCCGGACAGTGAAAAGGTCCTTCCCGCTAAGGCACAGTCAACCCTGTGACTGCGTACGGTTTCCACGCTGTTGGCACCACAAACCGTTGCATCATGATCACCAGACAGCTTAAGACTGAGCTCAACAAATCTGCGTTCGCCTTGAGTAGCTTCAAGTGCATGACCGAAGTGAAGTCTTGTGTACACGTTTCAGAGGCAACATACGCTGATTGAAAGCGAAATCTTCATCTGAGCAAGGGTTGCTTATTGCCCATTTTGATGTAGTATATAGACGTTTGAAGCCGCAAGATTGAACAGATCTTTCGAATTTACTAAAGGTTCGGCAGATTAATTTACTGGACAGTTATTTACAAACAGAGCAACGGCCGAGTGGTCGAGATCTGTTTGGGTTAGAAAGGCCTGGTTGAAGGAAGTGTGGGTGGAGATCGGTGAACGAAGAGCCCTAAGGACAAATGAAACTCCTCATACCGAAGAGGAGGACTTGATGTAGGGATCTGATCTCTGGCCTACAAGGTGGCAGGTATATGTAGGGTTTTTTGAGAGCCCTTCTTTTAGCCTTCGACTGCATAGTCATAGTCATCCCATTACTCTTCCAACTAGACGTCCAAATTAACTCCCGCTCTGTTTTCATTGCACACTCAGCGTCACTCTGTGTATGCTTTTTCACGTAGGTCCTAGCTGTTGCACTCCTGGATGCCATCCGGGCCATGGGGAATCTGATCACTATGGGCTTAGTTATACGACAGAAGTTTCGCTCAATATCCGCTGTTGAGTTCTACCGATTGAAGAGTCAATACCACTTCTCACAACCGTCAAAAGGAAGTTCTGGAGATGAATCCGTCTTTGCTGTGAACAAAGGAGATGTCATTGAATCAAATCTCTTGCCTCCGGACGAAACGTGCGCGGTCCAGCGTCAGCCGACAGCAGACTCCTGAGTAGCTATCCGCTATTTAGTCTAGCATCTCACTGAATCCTGTTGGTGTTCGACTGTTAGCCATTGTGTCATTCTTTGATTCTCATGAACTCCGTTGTGCAACTTATCACTTTTCTTCACGAAGCGCTCTCTGTCTGTTTGTTGTTAACGTATATTCTTAGACTCATCCATGTTTTCATCAGTCATGTCAGCTATTTCGACCTTGTTCCAAACGGCTCACGCTAATTGTTTATCCTCAAAACCCACTCAGGTAATGTGCTCTTCTGTCACTGTTCCCTGTATCATATGTCCCTGTGTCTCCATTGTCCCATTCGATGCTCAATCAGAATCTGTTTCCAGTCCCATGGTGATTTGATTAAATACAGTCCGCAGATGAAAACACTCTTTTTCAATCTTTTCTGTAATTGGCTGTTTTGGGCAGTATATGGGATCCATTGCTGATGGATTATCTCAGGTGGACTCATAAACGCAAAGTTCGGACAATTCCCCCATGGATAAGTCGTTCTGACGCCACGTCGTCCACGTTTCCTTCGGTTTATTGCCAGAACGTTTGGTGGTTTTAGTGTCTGTTGTGTGCTGCTGAAGTGGATAGGACTAAGAGACCTTCCAGGATATTGCACTGTCACATATTGGGTACATACCAAATTCTAGTGACATCCAAGAAGAGAGGTTATATGTTCGGTAGAATGAATTTCCAAAACGTTGGGCTGAACACCATCACGAAACGAACAGAAGGATTTATAAGGTGGTGACTGTCCTAGTAAGATTACTAGTGGTGCGGGAGTGCTTTATCACCTGTCCGTGAGAGGACATATGCTGCGCGATATTAGCCGTGGCTTTGAAGAGATAGACACAAGTCACGTGGTTTTTCGAATCAACTCAATTTCAGTCATTTTATGTCTGTAAATGTGTTACTTAAATGTGCAATACAGTTCACTCACAAATCGTAGAAACGCCTGACGAGCGGAATTGTGTAAATCTTTCCTACTATGGCAAGCATATTATCGTTAATCGCTGTCAAGCGAGACATGTTTATTCGTTTCTGAATTTTGTCCCGATCTGTTCTGTGCAAGTTCTGACAGGCCGACATGCCTTAGCGTAGTGTGATATGTTTCGGTTTGATAGACGAATCGGAATTCCCGTAACAAGCTACTTTTACGTCAGATGGCCTGGACAGTCTGTTGATCATAGCGTAGTTCGTTTTGAAACATGCTAACCTCACCAGCGTATTTCCCCATGATTTTGAGCACTAAGCTTAATAAGACGACCTTTCGAGGCAAGTAGCGGAATAAATCTGCGCGGTCTGGTCGTTACTGAGCCTTCGAAAAGCCAGTAGGCCAGTAACCAGGTAAGCCAAAATTGTTCGTTTTTTGGAAGGATATGTCAGAATGTGCTCATTTGTTTGCTCCAAGCCGAATTGGTTAATGAGCTTCGATGTGAATATCTTTACCAGTCAAGAAATGATCGATAAACAAATTTCCTTGTGCGAAAATGTTACGAACAATGTAAGCGATCGATAGGAACCGCTTTGAACTTTATGCTCAACAGCCAGTCTACTGAAAAACAAGGGGATTATCTTGGGATGAGGCAACTCAGTGAGTGAGGCTCATTTTAGATCCACTCCAAAATGTCGACCCGTGTTCCCAGCGTGGCCGATGCCGCCATCACTCAATGCTACAGCAATTACGTTGAATCAGATTCGCAGTACTCATACTAATTCCCTTTTAGTAAACATCTGTTCAAAAAAATTACAAGCATAAAATTTACACGCACAGTCAGCGCGTTAGGCTTTTATTTCCCTGCAGTTCGCCTAACCTGATAGATCGTTACTGTCGGCCCTTAGTCCACCTTGACGAATAATGCAGTTCGGTTACCTGACTTCTGGCATTGTGTTGAACGAACTGTCGGCACGGCATTAAACTAATATCCAGTCCGGGCTGCCAGACCACAGTGAGTTAGTTTGACCTTGTCCCCTACACATTAGCATTGCGTGTCAACTTTGTCTCGGTTGGTTCGCCCCGTTCATTCGATTCAACCTCTCCGATACATCATATCAGCTTGTGGGCAGGAAATGGAGTATAATGTTCTAACCGATTGTTCATACTACCCTGGAAATTATGCCGTGATCCATCAGTCGAGCCTACCTGTGGCATCGTACTTGTTGCTAACGCTTAGGCCAAGAAAACTCGATAAGCTGTCAGTTCACGTGAGGGCCGTTTTACAGTGGCACTCTGCATACGGAACTACTAACCATTTGACAAGTAGTCGGATGTCCACTGTGAGATGCGTCCAGTATAGCAACTCTAACAATGGAAAATCCTGTTTGCCCCAAGGAGAGTTATAACCTTTGGTGAACCACCGCTAGCAAAACATCGCTGGAGAAACATCTGTGGCAGGTAGGAAATGATTGCGCAAAATAAAAACCCCTACAGTCAAACTGTTTGCTCTGACATCTTGGCGTCTTTCTGGCTGAGGTCCGTGTTATTCTCCATAAACGCAGTCAGCACGCAACCAATGCTGGGAGAGAGCACGCTGTCACTTCCTAACCAGACCACTAAGATCCCTAAGGGTCTTGGATAAGTTTCTCAAAGGATGCTTTCTCATTCTCTGTAATGCTGCCCTAATCCTACACAGTACCCAGATGCATTTACTTTATTGCGGTTTGAAGATGTGGGCGCCCTGTTGTTGCTAGTTTTACTGTAGGCTATACGTGTCTTTACATCAAGTCCCCATTCTTTACCTTTCATTCCACCCTTTACCAGTACATCCCTGAACTATTGTACCGTTGAAGATTATGGTGCTATTGTAAGACTCAATGCGTTCACTTCATGTTTTGTTCTATCTTTAAATTCCGGTGCACGCTGTAGTAATCAGTGGAGCAGTACCACCAACCAAACGCGTAGGATTCCTATGTGATGAAGCATTGAAAGCCTCTGGTTGTCCGTTTACTTCGTTATATTGCGTTGTACGGTCTTCAGTTTATTTTCATGCATTCTTTTTCAGGTACATTTCATGTACATATCTGCAAACAACCTGTCCTGAAACTATGGATACTGGATTTTTAGGCACCCTTCTGTGGGTGCCTTTGTACAGCTCAAGCCGAGTAACGGCCAGTCATACGTATGTCTTGGTGAGTCTAGTGGATCACCAGGCTGTCTCCCATTTAGAATGGGTCTCGACTGTTCGATTATCCCCAACTTGGCTTGGCAATTGCGGATCACAATTTCGTATACTGATGGCCCCAGAACTGTCCCCCTCCCGTTTTCCCTCCAGTCTTATTTCCGTGGGTTTGAGTGTAGTTGGCAGTTGCATATGTAGCTCAGTGCACACCGCATGTGGTAGTGCGTGCAGATCCATTGCTTATTGAAAAGCGGATCCAGAAACAGATGGCAGCGCACCATATAGGTGCAGACGGCGGCCTGAGATCAGAACCAGTGCAGGAAAAATCGTTCCAAAGTGAGGGGAGGAAAATGAGGGAGAACTATTTCCGTCTCGTTCGACTGTACATAGTTTTATCATTGTGGATGGTCTCTGAAAGACGGTTTACTACAAAAAGAAATCGTCGCCAATAGAGTCGGTTCTTATCCATATCTATTAACACATCTAACAAGTAGGGCTAATTATCTTTTGATATCCGACGCGGGGGATAAATTTGACCAGCAGGGACTGAGTTTGCTTGCTGCTGAACTTGACACGGGAGCTTATCGCACAAACCAGTGGATAATGCCTACTAAAAGAACCATGGACTTTCAGCTCAAAGGTGGTTGGTCTGGCTGGCGTGGTCAACCCTAACGGCTGTCTTGCTCGTTGATCAGCTGGTTTTCAATTCAGTCCGAACGACCGATGATCACGTCATGAGACATGAGACATTCATTTTACCCAGGTAAAATGCGTATAATTTTGATCAGCCTATATGACCTCATGCAGCCATATCAGCATAACCTGACAAAGATGAAGAAAAGAGCCACACAACGGTCGGAAACTAAAACAGCCCACAATCTTTTCACCCGTTTCGTGAAGGCGCATGTACTTTAGATCAGATATCACCGTTGAAGACCACTCACAAGATGTGGTACTCATGACATCATGATGTCAGTATTGTTCGTCCGTTCAGCTTTAAAAATTCCTAAGCATAGCTGTCATCCGTGGGGATCAATGACCGATAAACTCATACAGGTGGGATCTATTCAAACTGGTGAAATCAAGGTTCAACATTGAAAAGTGGACATGCAACCGGGATCGATATTCAAAGAGGATAACAATCACGATTTTTCATTGTAGATTAGAGACAACCGCTGCTAGTCGTTTGAACGCAATTAAGTGTGTTGCTTGTTGAGGCTATCTCGTCAAAAGCTTACCTTTGAAGAACACTTGAACGATTGCTGATAAGTGGCTGGTGGTTGTGCACCCACCAACCCATCGCTACGCACCACTACACTCCCCAATAACGCACTGATGATGTCACTTCGATTGGTGATGAAACGTTTGCAATCGAATTGCCCAGCTGATTAACGTATGGTGTCATGATGCCAGGCGTTTTATAAAACTTGATTGAGGGCAAATTTCATTTGGTGGTTTTTCAGCATGAGCTGATAAGTTCACTTTAAGATCGGTCATCTGTGGACACATTTCGACTGTTGGGATACTGTAAGCGTTGAAAAATCTCTACGTGGTAACAATTTAGGATTGACTGATGAAATTCATTCCGTACAGGCCATCGGCACAAATGACTTGGGTGTGAAAGCCAATCTTTCGACTGACGAAGTTATGGCAACTGAACAGTATGTCAACTCTGGGGATTTGTGTTGGTATTAGAAAGCAGGTGGTGGGCAAACTAGAAAATGGGTAGTCAAACAGCTCAAAAGAAGATGAGACAGCGGGAGACAAGCAAAAGTAAACTGATTCCAAGTAGATGAAAAATTTCGCACATTACCTTCGTCTGATGCAGTTTTGTTTTCTCATAGCACCTTATGTTTACTGTCCATCGTGAAAGGATCGTAGTTCATCGGGTTCTAAAGGACGGATCATACTTCAAAATGCAAATGGACCTCTCAGTTTTCACAAAACTGGGGGCTTGACCGACCTACTACGCCTCCAAATGGGGAACATGGATGATCCTTACCGAGGAGAATACTGCGTGCCTATGAAGACCCAACTTTGTTGAATCGTACAAACATGTCCTCTATCTACGCAAACTGATTTACAGAACTACTCACAACTGGGATACCTGCATCCTATTTTTTTATTCTTGTATGTATGGTCCGAACGTACCGAAAGAGTAACCGGCTCAGACAAAAGTACGAATTCAGTAATGTTTTGGTCACTTATCGCGTGCAGAACAGATGTGAGCGAAATTTCTGCCACGTTTTC